TTTTGACCTAATCTGATTGGAAGACTCCTATTATGATAAGAACTCTACAGCCTCTACATGTCTTCCCCTATAAAAGGGGCGCAGGTTATTTCATTTACACAACACACACATACAAATTCTCTCGTTATTCTGCCGCTTTTTTTTCGGACCACCACTGACTTGAGCGTCGGAGTGTTCGCGCCGGGACCACCCCCGGCGTGTTTTGCAGGTACCGGCGGTCAAGGAGACGTAACCCGGTGTGAAGAGGAGCGGTCCAGCGGTCCAGGTTTGTGTGGTATAACAGTATAGATTTATTTAGGATGTGGTTCAAATGTAGTATGTGGTTCAAATGATAGTCAAGTCTTAGTGTGAGAACCATGAGAACTGCTATTTTTAAAATGATTGATTGTATTTTAGTGTTATTTTTAACCATGACGCGTTTTATTTAAAATAGAATGCCATTTATATTAACATTTGTGAAAAATAATAACATCATGTAACAGTAAAAATAGCACCACACATAATTAAAAATAACATCAAATACGATTCTCACATCAGGAGTAGTTTTTATTTGAACCAACCCCTATGTTTGCATTTCATTAAGCGATTTTAAAAAGAAAATAAGTTAATTGGTTTTAATCGAATAGCAAAACCCTTACAATAATATAATAATTGTAATTATAATTTATGATATTTCATTTATATTTATGCATGTCAACAAGATTGAGGATTAGTTAATACTATTAAGTTACATAAATGGAAGTGAAATTTTCGAAAAATGCTACGATTCCATTACGGTACCATCAGTTGGTCAAAACACCGGACAGGTCGGTCAAAACACTCGACGAGAATGATACCGTTACAGGACCATAGCATTTCCCGAAATTTTTAGCCATAAATGATTATTGCATGATCAAATGCCTTGTGTATATTTTGTAGGCTTCGTCAATTTCATTCATCCCTTGTCTCCTCCATAACTAATCAATTTATTCAACAAACTAAAAGGGAAAATATAAATTCTTAATAGAGTCTAATACCGAGACAAATATAATCTCCTGTCGTGCCAACCCGCCATTTCATGTTCCCCTCTCTCCTCCGATCACCCATGCACTCGCCCACACCAGCGGCTCATCCTTCCACGAAAGGAATATTCCGGCGGAGTCCGATCGTTCACCCACCGACCAACCGTCTCTATCATACCTCCTCAGCAACGACCCCACGTCGTCGCGCACTTCCTCCCCGAACGCCGCCGGTCTGAAACCCGCGCTGCTCAGCCGGCGGCACCACCCCGCCGCCGTGTCCCGCCTCTCCTCCGACTCTTCCGCCGGGGACGCCACCAGATCCACGACGGCGCGTCCCGCCGCCCGCTCCAGCATCAGCCGCTCTTCGCTCGCCATCGGGAAGCAATCGTCCAGCGACTCCAGGTAAGCCCTATAAAATCTCACACACTCTCCAAAACAATCATCGCCCCCAAAATCCGCCGATTCCTCGACCACCGTAAGAACCCTAGGCTTCAATTTCCCCAAATCGGAGATCAATTTATCCCTATTCCCACCGATTGATTTCACGGCTCGCAGGGACCCGACGCAATTCAGGACGAGCGTCTCGTCCCCTCTGATCCCCAATCCCTCGAAATCCAGATTCGATAAATCGCCCGCAAGGTGTTTGATGTTGAACTCAAACGGAACCCCCATCAGGCGAGCGAATTTCTCCATCCTCTTCCCAATCTCTCTCATCACCGCCGACAATCCTTGGCTCACCACGGCGGTGATAGTCACGTGAGGAGTCTCGTCAGCACGTGTGGCTATGGCCTCCAGCAAGGTGGGCCACTGCGTGCACAAGGTGTTGCTTGCGTCAACTATATGTATCCTTCTCTCTCCCTCGACTGCCTCCACTATTCTTCCGTTACAAGCTACGTGGCCAAAGGTCAGCCAGGGGCTAACCTCCTGAAACCGGAGCATCATCTTTCTGGTGGACTCGAATGAGCTGGCCTTTTCAGAGACGGATATCAGGGCCTGGTATGTCTGTGGGCCCGAGCCCGTTAACCAGCAGAAGATTGCTCTGATGAAATAAAACGCGAGTTTCTGGTCGATATCCCCGTAAGGTGAGCTCAGCTCGATGGTGAGCCACATGAGTTGTCGGGCACGGGAGCTGTTCTTGTCGTCGGCAATGGCCTTAACGAGCTCGACAAGAATATTGGAGGACCAGTTGTTTTGGCCGGAAAGTGCAGAGGTGAATGCCGGAGAGTGTGAAAAGATAGGATCGGGTGATGGGGGGAGGTAGTGTTTGGAAGGGGGAGGATAGGGAAGCTTTTTATTGTCATGCTGGTGAAGCATTTTGGTCGTGGTTGGTTGTGATTAGGGTTATGCGTGGAGGATATTATTAGAGTTGATGAGGGGAGTGATGATGAGTGATTGGAGGGTGACTTGAGTGAAGAAAGTATCCATCTAGTTTAAATTAAGAGAGAGTCCGTTCGGGGACATCCGATAAAATTAGAATGATACAGAGAAGATTAGCATGGCTCCCACGCCAAAGATGACACGCATAAATTAAGAAATAGTTTAAATCAAGAGAGATCCACCAGCATGCATGTGTGTGATTTGATGTTGTGGGAATAGTTGTAGGAAGATAGAATTTTGCTTTGTTAGTTGTACATTCCACGTCATGTCAGTATCCAGTACATACCTGACAATAAGTATCTCTTTTTTATCGTTAGATTGCTCAAAACTTCAACTTTTTTTTTGGTAGCTAGTCACGGTTCCAGAGCTATACCCTGACTAATCCGTTGGTCGATCTGGGTCGCACACCTGACAGTGGTGGGTGAGTCTCCTAACAAGAGTTTTTTTGCATCCACAAAGACTCGAACCCGAGACCTTGCTTAAGCGACATCAAAGTGCTTACCACTTAAGCCATCCTCTGTTAGTTCAAAACTTCAACTTTAACTCTACATTTCGTGTACAAAGCGAAAAAGAAAAAGAAAGAGAAGAAGAAAGGTGTTGACTGTCTCATACATGCAAAACATATATTATACTCTTATACTACTTTTGGTTATAATTTAACTTAAAGAAAAATTATATTTAATTTCAAGGTCTTGTATACAAAAAGAAAATAATAATTAAAAACCATTGCCAATTAAATTTAAAACATGTCACAATTGAAGATCTAGCAGACCACTACCATCAACTCCCATTTGTCGGCCCATCAGTGATACATTTCAATAAATCATATATCATTTCGAAGTTCTCTAGTTGATTCTTCTAGCTACATGCAGGGCGTCTCCACACATGGAGGAGTCAGAAAAGTTTTTTCTTTTCAAATTTTTCATTTTGACTTTGTGTTATAATTAGGGCTTTTTGCAGATAGAATCATAGAACAAAAAAAAAACTAATTAAAACTATTAAATAAATAAATAATTGAAAAAAAAACAAATTTTCGTGTTTTCTAGATCTTGGAAGTGATAAATTATCTTTGGGTTACAAAGATCTTTAATAAATTATATTCAGGCAGTCAAAACGACACAAGGAGAAAAAATAAAAATCATATCACTGCAAAAAATATTTATTATCACACAACTTGTTCTGGCCGGATATCATAAGAAAACAAATTAAATATTTAGAGCCTCAAATTCCTACACAAAGTATATATTTTGTCATTAGCCATTTCATTTAGGCAATGAGCCAAATTCATATTTAGCCGTTAACCCTTTATTTGTGTAAATAGACCATGTCCAACACAAATACATAATACTAAAAAAAAAAAAAAATGAGGCCACCACCCTAGACATGGACCTAGCTTGCCTCCCTAAGGAGCCGACTATGGCTATGTTGATAAACGGATTTGATCAACTTGATGAATAGGGGTTAAGACCAATTAAAGCGTTAAATGGGGATTTTTATTAGTCAAATGTGGTTGGGTTCCAAGATAACGCACGTCGGTTTCTTGTTCAGGAGGTCGGTTTTTCTTATACAGGAAGTCAGTTTTTATTAATGCCGAGGTGATTAATGCAACTTTTAATGTGTCGGAAGAAAATCCTCGTATGCAATTCAATTCTGCTATTTATAATAGAGTAATGCTCCCCTACCCACGGTGGGCACATGTTAATATGCCCACCATTTATGTGACATGCACATATTGGTAATGTATTTTTTTGAACATATTAACATCACCGTTTATGTGCATGCCACATAAGCGGTGGACATATGAACATGTGACCCCCGTGGGTAGGGGAACATTACTTTTTATAGTAACTCCTAGCTCGTTTTTTGAGGAGATACGACGACATTTAATGCGTTGTGACCGTCTAGGCTTAGCTATTCAGAGTGTGGGTCCCCTGGCAATGATAGCCCTCACGTGGACTAAGACATCTGATTGACAAGCATTTAATGCTGCCGATAACGGGCGACGTTGGTTTTTAAGGATCACGGCTTGATTGAAGTCGGTTCGTTCCATGAGGTCGTCTTCCCTGCTTCGGCAGATGTTCTTCCTCTCACCTCGATTTTACTCTTTTCCTCTTCGTACTTTTTTACGATACATGTGTCGTCAATCCAGCCTGGGAGGCGATTTCTATGTCAACAGGCTACATGTTTAAGTTCATTATATGATATCTCAAACTTTATTAAACTATTAGTAAAGTTTCAAAAAAGTAAAGAATAAATTTTGTTGGAATGTGGCAAAATTTAAAAAATGATACACTAAGTTGGGCGTTGAGTCAACAAAAGAGACATTTCGTTGTTCCTCACGTAAAAGAAACATGCAATTGACATTTTGGTTCGAAAAAAGATACAATAATCACCCCACCTGGATAAAAAGCTGATGTGGAGTGATGACGTGAAATTGTAACTTTCTTTAATTTCCTACGTGTTATTTATGTGGCATGATGTGGCATAATATACTCTAGTACATAGTATGAAATTTCAGTATTTCATACAATACTAATTAACTATAACTATAAGCACATTGAATATACAGGTGGTTTAGTTTTGTTAGGTGCTTTATTTGTTTACACATGTGTTTCAAGTTTCTTGTATATGTTGTAATCAAAGAATGATTGAGTGGTTTTCACATGGAATTAGTCGGCAATGCAATAGAAGAGATAGAGAAGTACTTAGAAAAGATTGTATGACAAAAAGATGCAGACAGATGAGAAAAAGACACACACAACAAGGTCTAGTCCATATGCTTAGTGGAAGACTAGCTTTTATTGAACTTATATCATGTAGTTGTAGCCTTGATGTTTTTATGTTTTTTGTTAGACACTGTGTCTGCACGAGTTCAAATCTAGATATAATAGCAATAAGAAAATAATATAAAAACAGTATAACAATTCTGCTCAAATTTTCGATTTTTACTACTTATGAAAATGCATTTTAAAAATTTTGGGCAATTCCCGCCCATGATTTTTTTTTTTAATTTTCAAATTTTTGAACGTGATATAAATTATCTGTTTTAATAGATATGCATTTCATATTATCTTGATGTCCATATTTAAATTTTGTTTTCTTTTTTTTTGCGGATATTGTTTTGATTTGATTTTAATATCCTTAATTAGATATCTACAACTATTAACAATGATGAGCCAAATATATTGTCGAGTATCTATTCTAAATTCTTTATATGAAGCATGACATTATTTTTTTTTTCCTATATTCTATTTTTCCTTTTCCAATATTACGTCTACTTTTAAAATTAAATATCTTAAGTTGTTGGAAACATATTACCTCTTTCCATTTTAACATTTATTATATATAAACTTAAATATTTTTCAATCTTTTCGTTCGTTGGGTCTTCGAGCTGACTTTAGTCCATTAAGGAAGCAACTCGCCCAAAAGGAGTTTAGATCCGGCGATGGAGGGGGACTAAAGACACGGTTACCAGTAAGCATAAAAGTCTTCAGTGTCCCCTCGATCCGGTCTTTCAATGTACCCCCGTTATCTAAGTCCTACGATATTATGAACTTAAGTACCGGCTGAAGTTACTAAGTAAAGACCGAAGACTAAGACCCTAAATGGGATAGGGTAAGAGAGGGCCGACCTCAAGTAAGTAAGAAGATCAGTTTCAGTTGCTTAATTGAAATTTGGAATCACTTTACTAAACTAAAAAAGAAAAATTAAAAGTACTCCTTAATTTAAATAATCTCAAAAATGTTTGAGAATACCCGAAAACTATGGTCAATAAGAAAGAATTTGGATTTATAGGATAATTACAAACCATAAAAGTAGCAAAGGAATTATACAGTTATAATATCTACATTGCTTTGAAATCAAATATTTCATTAGGTAGTTAAGTTTTCAAACATTTCCTAATTTTTTAATCTATGTATAATTAATTATAATAAAAATTATATGTCAATCACTCACAATTTATTTTGTGCTCAATAAACTAGACAATAAAATAGATGCTTTTTAACTAAAACCTTTATGATTACATATCATGCTTTAAAAAAAATACATTTATAGATAAGTTAATAATAATAACTAAATAAAATATCAAACCCTTAATTTTGATATTTCATATTTTTTTATTCAAAGTCATTTACATCTATGACGTTACGTGGAGCCTTCTTAATTTTCTTTGAAAATATTTTTCAAAAAATAGAAAAATCCTGCATTTGGCTGATATATTTAAGTTTAATATTCAATTAATTAAATCAATCTTATGTAATGAAATCTCTTTGTTTTGGTTGTTAATTAGATAAATTTACTTCCTAATTAAATCAATCACATGCAATTTCTCCGACTGCATGTTCTTATGCTAGACTTTTTCCAAACGAGATTGATCAGTTACGGACGAGATTTTTGGCAAAGAAGTTGTGTTTATTTATTTATTTTTATTTTTTTTTCTGCATGAGAAATTACGCACGTGTGACATGTGACATGTGAGAAGTCCTCGACTGATACGAAAGTCAGTCCCAATATGGAATGTATTGTCAGTTTTCATATCTTTCTTGGATTGTTATTAACAGATAATGCTCCCCTACCCACGGTGGACACATGATAATATGCCCACCGCTTATGTGGCATGCACACATTGGTGATGTTAATATGTTAAAAAAAATACATCACCAATGAGTACATGCCACATAAGCGGTTGACATATTAATATGTGTCCACCGTGGGTAGGTGAGCATTACTCTGTTATTAATACCCACAATAGCTGAATTATTATTTTTCATGTCTATTACTACTAATTATTTAATATGAATCATATTTAATTATAGGATTTGCATATTATTTATCCGATATGCATAATATTTATTTATGGGATATCCTATCTAATATGCGTGATAATTAATTAGTTGCTTATTTTCATATAAATTAATTATGTTAATTAATTAGTT